AAGATACTCAGGGTATGTCTTCACTAGCAACATTAAAGCGCTTTAATGTGGCTGTGTAGTCGCGGCTCTCCCAGTGCTGTGTTTAGGGGAAAAAAAAAAGGCACCCCAACGAGATGGCTCCCAGCGCTGGTGCTGTCTACACTGCCATTTTACAGCACTGAAACTTGCGCACGCACACACACACACCTCCCCGCTCCCGAGCCAGAAAGTTGCAGGGCTGTAAAGTGGTAGTGTACACAAGGCCTCAGGGATACCAAAGCCTTGCTACACTTACCTTTTCTTTGCAGCTCCAGTGCATCAGTTCCACCTGCATTACCATCAATGGAAAAAGCTCAATGTTGTCAAAAACATCCAGCTTGATAGGTGTTAGATGAGGCCCTTAATTAGGATTAGTATTTAGATTGCAAGTTCTGTAGGGCATGGATCTCACTTGTTTTCATATGTAAAGAACTTAACTTGTTTTGGTTGCTGTAGAAACAAACAATAGATGCAGTAGCCCAGTGTTTACAGTATTTCAGACACTAGAATTCAGGAATTTCCACATACTCCTCCCCAGCCTTTGGGTAATTACTGTTCTGATTTTTTTCCAGTAGTCATTAGTCCAGTTTGGCCAGGCAGTGTGTCCTGACTACCACAGTGGGCAGCATTTGGCACCAAACATCTTGCTTCTAACAAACAAACATTTCTACGGCAATTTAAGACAGCAGTTAAGTCACATCTCTGTTCCACTAAAAGAGGCTCCAAGTTAGATTTTCTATCTTAATAAGCAGTAGGTACAGCCACTGAAAACGTTATGGGTGCAGAGGTTTATTTATTTATTTTTGTTCACTTGTCTAGCCACCATCATTGTCGTCTTCAACAGGGTCTTTGTAACTAATATTTTTTAATAGCAGAAACACCTCCAAACTTCACACTGAAATCAGTCCAGCCAGACACCAGTGACGAACTTGTGAAATTTTTCTGTGCTCGCTGCATCAGATGTGAAACCATGCTACCCATCCTGTCACATCAGCGAGGTTTTAGCTGCCTGTTGTTCCCATTTATGTGCTAACATTTCTATGCAAATTAAAAAAAAAAAAAACCCCCACAGGAGTGAATAATTTTGAATTTTAGAAGTTTGCACCTTCATATTCTAGGATGACCCTTTCCAACTGCAAAGAGAAAAACAAAAAGATTGGTGGGGGTGGGAGAGTGGGGAAAAACAAAACATTAGAGATGATAGGACAGAAGAAACTCCCCTCCCCACCCCCAGTAATTGCAATGGATTTAGGCACTTACACACACTGCTGCTGAGGGACTACATCATCTGACATTGGGGGAGGGATACCTCAGTGGTTTGAGCATCGGCCTACTAAACCCAGGGTTGTGAGTTCAGTCTTTGAGGGAGCCACTTCAGGATCTGGGGCAAAATCAGTACTTGGTCCTGCTAGTGAAGGCAGGGGGCTTGTCTCGATGACCTTTCAGGTCTCTTCCAGCTCTATGAGATTTAAGAGAGAGAGCATGAGTGCGCATGATGTGTGTGTGTATGTGTGTATATATATATATATCTATAGAGGGGGTACTGTAGTCACAAAACTAAATGTTCCTGCACATGGGAAAAGCTCACTGGTCCCAATCCTCCACTGCTGTGTGTGGCTAACTCAGAATAGTGGCTTTTTACAACCACTTTGCACAGGTGTAAATCAACTCCATGAAATGCAACCCTGTAGAGAATCAGGCCTGCAGAGTTTAAATTGACTAGTTTCCTAGCCCACTAACCATATGATTACAAGAAAACCTAACTCGGCTTTCCATCCCCCTGGGATGGGCAAGAGGTTAGACTCTCCAAAAACTCCTATGTCCCACAGCCTGCCTGCACTCCTTTCACTGCAGTCCCAAGAACAAAGCAAGGCCTTCCACAGCTTCTTAGGGCACCCCTTTCTTTCACAGAAGCCCTGCTCTCACTCTACCCCTGCCAGCCATTTCAGTCAGAATTTCACTGAGCAGAGGGGAAAACTGTATGAAATAACGTTGACTGGTTCAAATCCCCCAAGGAATTGTAAGCAGCCTTCCCGCAGTCCCAACCCACAAAGACCCAACGCAGATTAGGATTTAAGAAAGATACTCCACAACTTCCACCATTTTCTATTGGCCCAGACCAAACAGGGCTGCAGGAATTCAAAACTAGCAGCAAACTATGCTGCCCCGCCACACTTTGTGTCACGTTTTGGGGGATGTGGATCAAATTCCCCCCACCCCTAATCTGAAACCATTAACTCCAAGCCTTGTCCAGAGCTTCTGAACAAGTCAAAAAAAAATCTAGAGATCATATGAAGAGGAACCACCTATTTCCTTAAAGTTCCTGTCCTTGCAACTCTGGCTAGAGCTGCTGCTGAGTTGCATTCAGCCTCGTCTGCCCCACCCTACTGGGAAAATCCTACACAATTTGAAAGAGTATCGCTGCTCTAGAATTATATGGGATGGCAGGGAAACCCCTCTAGAAAATAGATCACTCTATTAAGTTCTACAGGCTTTTATAGTGGCTCTGTAGCAGCCACGTTGGTTTCATCCATGGGAGGGTCAGCGCACTTTGCAATGAAGGTAGCAAAGCACCCATTGATGTGGTGGCCAAAGCTGCTGATGTGTGTAGAGACTAGTGCGGCGCGTTGCAAATTGCAACCACGTGGCCAGCCAGCTACAGTGTCGGGGGGTGGGGGGAACAAAGGAGGTTACTGTGGGAACGCCCTCCCTCTCAGCTACGGAACAGATATATTCACAACACACAATGGAAACCTGTATTCAGATTGAAAATCAGGTGTCCGTCCACATGCAATGACAAAAAATTTCCTTAGCTTTATTCCAGTGCCACTTTAATGCTTTACTTTGATCTCAAATTGAGAGGCAGGATTCTTTTGTCCACCCCGCTAAACGGGAAAAAGACACACGTTTCTAAAGTTTCAAGGAATACAACAGTCTCTGTGCAGGAGAGTCTCTCTCGCAGTCAAACTGTTGCTGTTTACTAGGAAGATTTCAGCAGTGCTCAGAGGGGAGGTTATATTTTGAAATACACCTAGCAGCAAAGAAACTCTCTGAGCCGGAATTGCTTGTTTTACTGGGTCGACATAGGAACAGCCGCTGAAGTTTGGAACAGCAGAAATAATCAGAAGAGCTAGGAGGCTGAGAAGGATTATGGGGTGGTAGTGGGAGGAAGCAAAGGATTTTCCTATTCTACCGCCACTTTGAATGGCTCGTTTCACTACCAAGCGACAAGCTGTCCCTCCATGGAAGAAAAAAAAAACCTCCACAAGGGGCCATAGAAAGTTTTTTTGTTGTTGTTTTAGAAGGAGGTTTAGATGATCACCAATGAAGAGAAATATCTCAGTCTGATCAGCTAACTTCTAGTACATTACATCTCTACTTTAGAAGTCTATACCAAATAAAGTTCGAATAGACTCACTCTACTCTGAATCCAGTAATTCGAGTGGAACGCGTGGTTTCAAATGTAGAAAGAGCACGCTTGGTTTTTTAAAACCCAGATAACCACTGCGAAGTTAAGAATAGGAAGAGTTTAAAAAGGAAACACCTTGAACAAGCAAGCTGTAGAACTGTTTGACTCATAACAGAAGCCTCAAAGAGAGCAAAACCACCGTCGTCCCCCCCCCCAAAAGTAAGAGTTTAAAGTGTGCATTCAAGTTAGTTTGAAATACTTGTTTTCCATGAAACAACGTTTTAAAACAGTGCTCGCTTTAAACAAAGGCGGAATATTTTCTAGCCGGTCTTTTAAAAAATAAAATCACGTTCATAAACCAAGCAAACTTTATATATAGAGAGAGAAAGACACTTACCCAACACAGAGTCAGTTGCCTTCAATCAGCAAAGCTGGGTATTAGCTTCCCCCCCTCTCCCTTCCCGATCAAATAGAAATAAAACCGAAGAGCAAAACCCCATGCTCCCTGCCCTCTTAACCATCCACAGCCAGTCTGGCTCATGCATTTCACACAGGGATCCAGCATATAGGATCAGTGAGGTCATTAGCCAATCAGCTTGCTCCAGGACGCAAGCCGCAGGAATTTAGATGACAGTATCTTTTTCTTCAAAGATATTGCGGTTCTGAATGGAGCTGTGGGGTTACAGGAATCCCTTCGCTCTTTTCACAGACCCGTGAGTGTTTGCAACGCTGGGATTCTCCTGCTTGGTAATCCAGGTGCTTTATAAAGTACTTTTCAGGAGAGGCAATACAGCAGTTTCACCCCTTACATAGGTGCTGAAACTGCTACCACACACTCTGGCTTGAAATGGTTTCCATTATATACAGGGTTTATAGTTTGGTTCAATCGCTTTCAGCACCCCCACTATCAGTGGCGTAGCCAGCTTTTAAGAGGAGTGGGAGCAAACCTAAAAAAGGCAGCCCCCCTTGGCTCCTCCTCCGGCCACGCCCCCCTTGGCTCCTCCTCCTGCTGCACCGCTGACCGCCCCTCCCCCCACTCCTCTGACCACCATGCTGCGCCCCCCTGCTCCTCCTGCCGTGCACCTGCTGCCCCCCCATGGCTGCCGGCAGCCTGCGCCCCCCCACTTCTCCGGCCGCGGCTGCGGGGCCGGGCCACATGCTGTGCCCCCCTGCTCCTTCGGCCATGCTGCGGGCGGCCAACCTGCACTCCCCCCTCGCTCCTCCGGCCTTGCTGTGGGCGGCCATCCTGCGCCCCCCCTTTCTCCTCCGGATGGCGGCCACCTTTGGAAAGGCACCGCTTTTGGGAAAAGGGGTGAGGGGAAGCGGCTGCTTCCCCTGCACCCCGCTAGCTACGCTACTGCCCACTACACAAATTATTCCTGCGCCCTTCCCTTATGCTCTTTAACAAAATTGGCAAGCAGGGAAGAACTCTAAAAGATAAAATGGTCCCTTTCAAAGTTAAAAACATATGGGAAAATTGGCTTTCCTTGTGTAAGTGACCATAAATTAGATCAGTTATGTGGTAAGACTTTGACAATCAGATTCCTTAACTTGCCATTGGTGGAGTTGGTTTCTTATCGCATTTCTCTTATTAGACAAGGAAACCAGTTTAACTAATTCTGGCTTTTGTGCACCAGCATGGTGTTGCAATGTTTGGGTTGGAAATTTGAGGGAGAGGAGTGTTTAGAAAAACTGTTTTAAAACTCAGAGGGGTAGCCATGTTAGTCTGAATCTGTAAAAAGCAACAGAGGGTCCTGTGGCACCTTTAAGACTAACAGAAGTATTGGGAGCATAAGCTTTCATGGGTAAGAACCTCACTTCTTCAGATGCAAGTAATGGAAATCTCCAGAGGCAGGTATAAATCAAGTATGGAGATAACGAGGTTAGTTCAATCAGGGAGGGTGAGGTGCTCTGCTAGCAGTTGG